AATAAATTGGACTACTTCTGTTAACTAGTGTCGGCTGCTGCTGAGGCAATTTTCAGTACATTTCGTTGAATATCTCAGAACAGGTCTCTGATGTGATGGTTATAGTGAATCACACCAGCCGCTGGACACCATACAGTAACTAAGATATTTTTTGGTGGATTTTCGCCTTCGGGGACTGCCTGAACGACTCATCGGTATCCAACCACTTTTTTCAATGTCTCCTATTGTCGTAGGGGATCCACTTTTCATCACACCTGACGTTACGATCCAAAATAAGATCGTTTTGGCAAAGCAAAGATCAGACCTCGAAACGTGACAATTTTTGTGGATCGTTCAAATCGTGGGTCACCATCTTTCCGAGCTTTTTGACCTGTCCAATACGTTTTAGATCATGAAAAACCTCATGGGAGCTGACTCCCAGTTCTTTGATCTCCCAGTTGATTGTGTTGCCACTGATATTACTTTTATTGATTTCCTCAATAAAATGAGCAACAGCGAATTTTCTGATTTTTCTTAAATGAAAATCTGTTTAAAATCTGTTTTTCCGTTAATCAGCTGTCGCCCCCATACGAACGACAACTCTCAGAAGTTGAGAAACTTGTGCGAGCTAAGGGCTAACGAGGTTAGGTTCTCAATAACGAATGAACCAATTTGGAAAAAAAATTACAGAAGTTATAGAAGGACAAAAGGCCTTTCGAATGATGTACCACTCCACCCCCATGCCATTGAAAAAAATAGGGGGGGGGGGTAGTTGCTGACCGAAGGGGGGAGACGTTTCGGGTATGACTTCTATATTAAAATTAGTCCCCCTAGAAATGAAAATTGACGTGTTCTTTGAAATTTTCAATTACACAATACAAGTTTTTGTTGGAACGTCCTGTATATTACGATACAGTATAATGACGGACAAAACTTTTGAAACAACTTGTTTTAAAAAGTTGTTCCTCATGAAAACAATAATAAATACCGTTTTTTCCATTTAAAAAAATCCTGTTATTGGTGTAAAGAATTATTTTATCTCTCATTTTATATCAAATATTCTTTGATATAATTAAAGTTTTTCAAGTCTTTCCATTGATTTTCATCCAAAACTTCCACCTGTTGATAAACAACGCCCTAAAATGAATTCAGTTCCATTATGCGCCGTAGGTTTCTAATTGTAATTCGTAACAAAAATCAATATAGAATTTAAATTTCCAGTAATGACTTCATACCTTATTTTTGGAAACATTCATCATCATCAGTGAGTCATAAATCTTTCTTTAAATCGTGAATGTTTACATTAACTCGATAGCAAATAGACGCCCTGAATTATTTTAAATCAAAATAAAAAACTCACCAACTCCAGAAATTTAATTATAGATAGTCGACTAACTGCCATTTCTTATTTTTTGATGCTTTTTGGAAGAGAAAACACTTAGTAATTTATCCGGCGAATTGATAACAACACTTTTGATACTTGTTCCTTTTACACTCGTGCGATCGACAGATCCAACTGAACTGCAACTGATAGACAGTGGAAGTCGGGTCTTGATGACCAATGCCTAACAGTTCAGGGCCGTACTTTTATATGTCTCTTCACAAGTGTGAAGAGCCTATAGTAAGTTGGATGCATATATAGAGAACAATAAAGGGCCGAGTATGGATCCTTGAGGTACCCCTTGAAGGAAACTATATTGGATAATGAAATCAAATAATATCAATAACATTTTTTCTCTGTCAGCTTACGAACTCTTCAGTTCGACTTTGGGTTTCTTGCGTCGCAGTTTTATTTTCCTTTTACTTAATAACAAAAACAAACACTACAAAGACACAGTACATCCATGAGTGTTGAAGAGTAATCTACAAGAGTCTGTACGTTTTGATTTGCACATATATCTCGTGGCTGGTTTTTGCAAAACTAAAACATTTTGAAGTAGATAACCACTACACACTCCCCAAAATGGAATTCCATATCTCAAGTGAGATTCCACCAAAGAAAATAAACAGTCTTAGCTGCTGTTAAACCAAGTTCATTTGCGACTACTCTGTCTGCATAACATCCAGAGGACATTTTGTTACACAAGGCATAAATATGTTCTTCAAATTTTAGTTTACTATCGAATGGATATGACTTTAGTTAAATCGTTTGCATTGTCCGATTGCCAAAAAATGGTAGTGTCGTCTGCAAATAGTGTGCATTTCCCTGAAATATTTATACTTGTCAAATCATTGACATAGATGAGGAACAATGTTGGCCCTAGTATTGAACCCTGAGGTACACCCGTATGTATTTTTATAATTTCTGAACGGTGGTTTGTTTCCACCATCTGGCTACGACCTGACAAATATGAGCTGAACCAGCTTAATATCACTCATCTGAAACCGTAATAAGGAAGCTTCCTCAGCAGTATTTCGTGATCCACACAGTTGAAAGCCTTCGAGAAATCGCAAAATACTGCAGCAGCAACCTTGCCACTATTGATTCCAGTATAAACTTTTTCCATGAGTGAGAAAATTGCATCATTAGCACCTTTACCACTTTGAAAGCCAAACTGTTCCTCATTGATGATTTTATGTTTTGACAGAAATACAGTTATCCTCAGCTTGACTAGTTTTTCTATAAGTTGTGGGAATTAGGGAAATAGCCCGATAATGCGAGGGGTCGTCCTGATTTCCTCTTTTATATAGTGGTATTACCAATGATACCTTCAAGAAATCGGGAAATTTTCCTGATTGAAATGATGCATTGATAATATTGGTCAAGAGTTGTAATGTGTTGTCTGGGAGATTTTTCAAAATGGTTGCTGTAATGTCGTCGTAACCAGATGACGACTTTTTTCCAATGGAAACAATCACCTGTTTCAGCTCATGAATATCACTGTCATATAGAATGCACGTTTCAGAAATGAAGGGGTTTTTGAATTGTTCCATTGGGTCGTTCTGAGTAGTCAATCTTTCAGTCAGTTTTTTTGCAATAGAGCAGTAATATTCACTAAGAACGTTTAGTGAAAGTAAAACTTCATGTACTTTATTAGATTTACCTCTTAGGTCATTAATTACTTGCCAAGTTTCTTTCGATTTGTTATCAGCTTGTTCGAATCTATTTTTATAGTAACTTCTTTTGCTTGTCTGACAACCTGCGTACAGATGCTGCGGTATCTACTGAAATATCTTTCAACTAAGATATTGGAGGCAATATGGATCCCTGGGGAACACCAGCGAACACCAAGTATTGGCCAGTTTCATTCTAATGACGGAATCACCATATGCAGTGCAGTGCAGGTGAATGTTAATATTTCCATCTCTTTCTGATAACATGACTGTATCATTTGATCATGCGTAGGGTTATTACCAATCTGAAATCCAAGAATCGACTACGTAGCAACATATTACCTAACAAAAAATATTTTTCTTCTTTAATAACCTTTCTCATGAGCAAATACTGAAAACAAAACTTGTTTTTGCGTTAACCAACTATCGCCCCTCTATGGACCACAAGCACAAGTTATGCATACTGTAGTAAACACAACTGTATAAACTATAGGTATCCGTGATTATTGTGGTGAGAGAGATAGCGTAACGCCGAACTAGTGGGAAGATAATCGCACAGTTGCTTGCGCATATCGACCCGTCGCCACGGTACGCATCGCCAAGCCAGCAATCGGTTTTACGTGCGGATGTTTCACATCAAAAATGAAAAATAATTCGAAACTAATTTAAGATTGTGTTCAAATTTGATGAAAGTCCTATGGCTTGATGTAACCAGTGACTTTTAATAAGTCTGAAATCAGAATTGATTTTGTTCCGTGTGGTGTTAAATATCCATTGATATAAATACTTGGTTAGGAGTTGTTGGCCAGATTGGTGCCATGATAAAAAATATAATTCAAAGTATACCACGCTTTTTTAAGTTTTTCCGGGTTTTCCTGCAGCTAAAAAAGCAAATGCGTCACTGGAATCAATCAAGTCGCCCCGGAGCACCAATTACTTTTTATTGTTATTGATCCCATTTTCAAACAGTAGTTTTTTACTTCTTTCCCGATGCTTTTACTTCCAAAGATTATAGCTACTGATTTGTTTGGATTGAGTTTCAACATATGGACACTTTTAAAATCGTATTTAGATCAAAATTTATATCGGTTACTGCTTGGTCTATATCTGAAGGTATGAAAGATAAATATATTTGAGACTCATCTGCATAAAGGTGACATTTACAAGACTTCAACTTCTTGATAAATGTGGCAGTATAGAGGGTATAGAAAAGTGGGTATAAAATGCTGCCTTGGGGTACTTCTATTTCAACTTCTCTCCAAGTAGAAGAAATATCATGAATTTGTACTTTTTGTGATCTATTATATAGATAAGATGATATCAACATTACTGATGCATCACTGAACCCAATAAAATGTAATATAGCACAAAGTATTTTATGATTGATGGTATCAAAAGCTTTTGAATAATCCAATAGAATCAAAATGGTGGCTTCATTTTTATCTATAGCATTAATTATGTCATCTGCAATCTCTAATAACGCTGTTGCACAACTATAATCTTTTCTAAAACCAGACTGTTTATGTGGCGTATCAGTTAGTAGCGCCACCTGTGTGTTAGTCCATGAACTGTTCAGTCTACCTAATAAGAAAATATTCCAAAACGACATTTCGAAAGATTTCGAGATTTTATTACTCGAAATATTTCGATATCACAAGTCCCACATTGATGCTAGGTTAGTTTAGGTTAGGTGCAAAGTGAGTGGGTCTATTCGACCCTCCACTGCAACCCGTAAGGGTAAGGAGTACAGCTCTGCCGAACTCTAACAACTTGATTCGGTCTCCAGCGGGGCAGGCACAAAGTATGTGCTCTGCTGTTTCATAATTTTTCAAACAGAAGCGGCACACACACTGTCTTCCGACAGTCCGAGTCTCTGCATATGTTACAGTGACCTGTAAGAAGGCCTGTGAGACATCGTAAGTTCATCCCTACTGTGGTCCAACAACTGTTTGGAATCAAGCTACGAAGGGTGAATGATCGCCTTGGAGTCAGCCAATCCTGGAAGATTCTACCAGAGGTCCATATATCTTCTTGCCATCCAGGTGTCAATGAGATCAATGTGATCAATGAGATCATAAATCGCTTTCTATCTCTCACTGTAAGCAAGCAACTTGATGATAACAGAGCTGAAAGGTTTTCATGATCCAAAACCCATATTTGTGGGTTAAGTTTTCTATCGATTCCATAGCTAGCTTTCTTTCTTGGAAATGCCCTAGTTGAAAACAAAAGAGTTTAAAAGTTGCATCCATGATCCGGCCTAATACTACTAATGAAATTCATTGCAAATTGAAACAGCGTTGTCTAGTATTGATTCTAAATCATGGCGGAGGAATTGTTTCCTATTATTGGTGAAGTTATTATCCTTCAAAAGACATTTTTGTGGTTGACTCAATATTTTATACTGTTTTTTTGGGTTTATAGCCTTCCACAATATAAAAAAATCAAAGATAAATCAGAAGAGAATCTGCTGAAATGTAGTAAAAAGGCAAACTAAAAAGTTACCCCGAAAAGTTACTGCGTAATATAAACTGCTGAAAAGTCCAGTTTGTCAGTAAATTGTTATATTCATAAATTTTGCATACAAATTGAAAAAATAAACTGAAAAACAATAAATATTGATACCTACTTAGCTTTCTTAAGTGGTTAAGATTTCGGAAAACAATCCTTCTCCGTTTTCGAAACCTGACATTCACTATAAAAATATCACCCCACACTGTGATAGTACTATTTTTTTTTGGACATAAGTCGAAAGAATGGAATATCTAGATGTATTCATGAATTTTGCCTACAAACTCAGAAATATCTGAGTTTCTCGCTGCTCTGGAACAAGTCTCTGGAAACAAGTCCACGACACTCATCTATTCACTCTTACGAACATATTCTATGATGTCAGGGCTTTTATGTGTATCTAATATTCCTGATGACTACTAATGATAAACTATTGTTAATGTTATTTTTGAAATGTTTTTTGTTCGAGTGTTATTTGAGGGAACTTGTATTCCATTCCGGAAGAACAGCAAATGCAAATAATTGGTGAGATGGTAGTACATTTCGAACAGTCTACTTACTCCGTCGCGAATGTTTGTGAGATGTCTCCTTCTACTGTGTGGAGACTTTTGAAGAGGAATAGGTATCATCCATATAAAATTAAAATGGTACACCAATTACCTGAAGATGACCCTGATCGAAGAACATAATTCTGAAAATTCATGACAGAAACCATTGCAAGGAATCCTACCTATCTCCACACTATTTTTTTAGCGACGAATGTACATTTTTTAAACGGCAGTGTTCACAGACAAAATTGCCGTTATTGGAGTGACACCAACTCTCACGTTTTCCAGAAAACAGATACCCAATATTCAGAAAAAATTAAAGTTTGGGCAGGCATATTGGGAAACCATATTGTAGGAACTCTATTTATGGATCAAACTTTAACAGGGAAACTGTATTTGAATATTATGGAAACTACTGTTGACCCTCTCATCACTGAAATCGTCGAAGCGAATCCCATATGGGTTTCCATATGTTGCGTAT